GTAGAGAATGTATTTTGTTCCCCAAAAAAATATGTAGGATATGCCCGAACAATAACCAACAACTATGTGAAATTCTGGAATGAAAGTACTTGTATATTTAATTCAGTTGGATGGTTTAGGCTTAGAGTCTAGTGGAAAAAGCAATCGCACTTGTAGTGTACCAGAGCTTTTCCTACTAGTGAGAACAGCCCGCTCGTTTTTTCACCCTCCTGTGCTGTATGACCACAAGATGGGTCACTGAAGGGAGTTATTGAACAAGGGGACTCCTGCAAGCTTCTGAATAACTCCCCGACCCAGCCTCACTCCCCAGACAGCAAAATGGCCTCCTGACTGTGAGTAATCTCTCGTGGGCAGATTCTGCATGTAGATCGAAGGGATGAGATGGGTGAGATAAAGAGCAGTATTAGTCCCAGTTTTGGGGTTTTCTTCAATGGTATTTTGGATGTATCAGGGTTGGGTCGAAGGAGGTGCTTAAACTGCTTCGCCTCGAGTGCTTCACGCAGATCTGGAGAGGGGGGGTATTGGCTAAGAGTTTCCTTTTGCAAGGATGGAGACCGTTTTTTGGCGTGAACTCTCAATTTCTAACACGTATGAACACAGAAGTTAATCCCGCAGCTGACCAAATTACACAAGATTTTACTTCTGGGTTAACAGAGATTAGACTGTGAGAGGCTAACAGCCAGTCTTGTGCTCTATCATCAGTGGGCCGAGGGCGATCGATACCACAACCCAAATAAAGAAGCTTCATGTTGTTGTTGGAACCAGTCTGCGGGCCACTTCATCGCCTGTTTTTTAGCTGTCTGCTCTGGAGGAGTAGGGCTTTAAGGGTGGCCTTCTGTATGTGGTTGTTGGTGCATATGGACTTGCCTTATAATCAATTTGTCTGTTGGAGAACCTAGGGACACATTATTTGAATTGTGTTATTTTGCACTGAGCTCCAGCTGTCTAAGTGAGCAAAATGATAATCTGTCAAACGTCTGAAAAGCCTTTCATCTATGGAGGGTGTTATATGCTGGCTACCTGGTAATCTAATACCTCATCATCTGTAAGAGTGCCTATGTCGGATCACCAAGAGCTTTACCCTTTACTTGGAATGTCCCTCTCAGCCCAATCTATTCTCGTAAAGAAGCGTACAAAGTGTCAACGCGGTTATTAAACCAGCTGGAGAGGGAGATACAGGGGTTTACACTACGGGTCAGGCACTCCCTCACATACACTCACAGTTTATTAGGTATTAGTACCGGGTCAGACCCCCACTTTGCCTCCAGAACAGCCTGAATTCTTTGGGGCATTCTACAAGGTGTCGGAAACGTTCCACAGGGATGTTGGTCCATGCTGACGCGATGGCATCACGCAGTTGCTGCAGATTTTGGATGGAGGTATATTCATGCTGCAAACAGTCCGTTCCATCTCATCTGAAAAAGATGCCCTATTGGGTTGAGGTCTGGGGAAGTAAACTGAACTCGCTGACATATTCCAGGCAATGTTTTTCCACTTCTCAATTGTCCAGTGTTGGTGATCGCGTGCCCACTGGATCCGCTTCTTGTTTTTAGCTGATAGGAGTGGAACCCGGTGTGGTTGTCTGCTGCAATAGCCCATCCGTGACAAGGATCGACGAGTTGCCGTTCTGCACACCACTGTTGTACTGGGCTGTTATTTGTCTGTTTATGGCCCACCTGTTAGCTTGCACGAATCATAACATTCTCCTTCGACCTCTCTCATCAACTAACTGTTTTCGCACACAGGACTGCCACTGACTGGATGTTTTTTGTTTGTCGCACCATTCTCTGTAAACCCTAGACACTGTTGTGCGTGAAAAGCCCAGGAGGGTGGCCGTTTCTGAGATACTGGATCCAGCGGCCCTTACTGACGATCATACCACGCTCAAAGTCACTTAGGTCATTCCTTTTGCCCATTTTAACGTTCAATCGAACAGTAACTGAATGCTTTGATGCCGACTCTGTCTGTAGGACCAATCTATTTTCGTGAATGGGGTCGTGTACCTAATAAACTGGCCAGTGAATGTATATTGTCCGTATGGGGGCATCTTCAGACATAAGCAGAGAGGCTTGTGAGGGGGGGAACTGTAAGGGGAGGATGGATGCAAATTAGTCTGACGTCAGGCACCCCACTGGCGGCATGTTAAGATTCAACTATCTCTGATTTACAGTTGAGACATTCCGCTCTATTGCACAGAAATTAGATACATCTTTTTTAATCGCTATATTTGTATTATTTTTATTCAACCCTTATTTTACCAGTCAAGTTGACTGAGAACAAACTGTCATTTACAGCAACGACCTGGGGAATAGTTACAGTGGAGATATGTCATGTTATGCCATGTCATGTTATGCTATATTTGATGTTTCGTATGATGTTATGATAAGGTGACGTAAGAGTGGGTAAGACATATAAGTGTTGGGCACATCTGCTTTCCTACATAACACCTTTTTTTTCTTAGAGAAGCTGTGGTAGCATACTTCAGCTGACGGGTGGAGATATCGTGTGTTATTCGTAGAACCTCGCTGCCACTGTAAATGTAGCCTACCACCAGTTTCTTGAAAGATAAGAAAGAAGATAAATATTTCCTGGAATTCCAGAGTGAATCATGGCGATTCACTGTCATGGTCTGTAAACATCCAGTTTATGATACATGGATCAATCTCACTCTATTCATTTCGAAAAAAAATAAAAATTTAAACAGACACAGGCAGTACATTTAGTCTGTGGTTGATTTGCATACATAAGCAAACCATCGTAGAAATCGATTTAGAGAAGTAAACCATTACCCTTTAAAAACCTTATTACCAGCCGCAGTAATATGCTTGAGGGAGGCAGACAAGAGTGGTCACAGTGTATCCTCACTTTAAATTGAAGGTGAAAAGCCAGTTGATTAAATCCATTAGTTTATTAAATCTGTTTTAGCCCTGCCGTCCATCCTCTCCTTCCTCGACCGTTCAGACCCAGCTGTCTGTCGAAGGCCCTTTAATTTAATTTCCCCCAACACTCACGTAAAAGGCCAAGTTAAAAAATGAAGCGGCAATGAGATTTATGCAAGTAATGGCACGGGGGAGTGGAAACATTTAATGGAGCCTAAGGATTATTTCTGAATGAGACATTGACAGAACACACGTATGAGCTTTGTGTGTCTGCTCCTTCTGCTTGGTGTTGGAGCGGAGGTTTGATTTATGTGTTATGTAATTTCGTGTGAGTAAAGGGTTTTGGGGCACAGACAGCTTTGGCTAGTGGTAAGTGAATGAGGTAATTGAGGGTGCTTTAGTCATGATCACCAGTTTTCTACAGTAGGCCTACTTCCTGGAACAGAGAGTTGAATACATCAACGCCCTCGTCCAACTCAACTTGAAGTGAGTGGAAAAGAAAGATATTAATGCTTGATATGTCAAATTTAGATGATATGAAGCCTAGGCCGGTTCTGTTTTCGTGGCCAAATGCAAAGTTGCAGACGCAATTTTTTTTGCCAGAAAATAGAAACGCATTCTAAGAAAACATGAAAAATTGCTTAGATTAGATGAATGTACTGCATTTGAAACAAAGGTTGACAATTGCTTAATTACATGGCATGTCACATCAATGTGCTCTTGATAAAAGAATTCAAGCCATTATCTAGTACATGAAACACCTCATTTGCACAGATTATAAAGTAATCAAGCCTTTTCCACAGAATAGCCAGACTCATTCCTCTGGCAGGGGAGGTGCCGGTTACAGCCAGGAGAGGACTTGTTGTTATAAATGTGTCTAGAGGCACTTCCAAGCTTTTCTTAAATCACTTCTGAGTAGGGTGTAATGGTGGATCTTGGAGATCCCACAGGCATTCACCTATTCACAGACAGAGGTCCTGGTGCTATTGGGACAAGCTCTTATTGTGTTCTGCGGTGTCATTTGTTACCAGCTCAATGAGAGTTCTGTCATGATTGAATAACTCTTTTGACTCTCCAGAGTGGATGCTTTCCTAATACCCCTGGACTTAACTGTCCACTAAGGAGATCTCCAGATACAAGAAGATGTGAAACACTTTTAAAGCCACTCCAGAGAAACCTTGAATGTGTGCCATAGCAAATACTAGATCATTAGCGTGTATGTGAATTGATTCTGTGTAAATTCGTCGCTAATGCCACATAGCATTGCAGATGTTTACAGTAATAATATCCCCATTCCTTCTACTACTTTTCCCACTCCAGTCATCAGAGTTTATTCCAGACTGCCTTCCCTTCCCTTCACCTCAGCCTTGGAACCCACACTGCAGTACCCAGAGACCCTTTCCCCTCTCATCTCACTCTGTTTTCTCTCGAGTGCAAAACGATCCCAGAGGATAACAGAGAGAGAGCCCTCGTTGAGTCCCTGCCCCACAGGAGACCCTCCTGTTTTCACAGCCCAGGTCCGGAACAGCGCCACGGTTCCAGCATGGAAAGACTGATGCACCCCATTTGCTCTGTTGGTAGTTAGAAGGCTCTTTTATGAATTATGGCTCAGAGGTTTACGACTCGCCGGCTTTTATAATGAGCCTTTAGCCCTGCCGAACTTAGCAATTCGCTGTTGTGCGAGAAGTGTTCATTGGAGCAGAAACGTACTTTGTTTACGTGGGCTTTTATTGTTTTAGTCAGTATTAGTATCTTATTTATGTGCCTAATGACATATTTATGGTGAGGCTGGGCCCGTAGTGGGTCAGTAGCACTGTCCGCCATTACACATTACATACTAATTCACAAAGGGGTCTGTATGTAAAATGTCCTCACCAGACCTTTCAGACTGTATGGGTTATACTGCTCTTCTGGGCATCGCAGTGCCATACAAATTGTTTTTATTTGGGGGTTGAGGAAAAGGCTTGTGCTTGGAAACGGTGATTAAAACAAATCAGAGGGAACTAGGAGCACACATCCTCTGGGCTCCTCGAATCCCCATAACATGACCTAGCACAGCCGGGGATTACCAGTCCCAGAACATCAGATGGCTATCTCAGTGGTGTTTATAGAGTCATAGGGATGTACTGTGCAGCAAGGTGTGTGTGTGCATGCGTGTGTGTAGAGCCCAAACACAACAGTTAATTAGCTGTCTTTGGAGTTGGGACATTTGTTCGCCTATAATTTATCTTACTGGGAAGTCTTGTAATATTTTGCTCTGCGGTTAATGCTCAGGTCCTTGGCATGCCAAATTTGATGAGTTAGATTCATTGAAGCTAAAATCATTAGTAAATCTCAAGTAAGTGAGTTCTAGAATGTTATGTACCGAAATTAAGACTATGGTGCACGGAAACGTGCAGAAATACAGGGAACATACAGTATAGTCGCCCAATAAAGTCATTTAACACAGTGAAAGTGAGTGCAGCCAGAAATGTATGCAAAACCATTCAGCAGGCAAGCCAAAATGCACACGTGCTGATTATACAGACCCAGACTGTGATTTCTCATACTTTTTGGCTGCTTCTCCTCCTTGCAGCTCCTGTAATAAGACGTGCAAAATCAAATGAACAAATACGTGATATGACTTTATTTGAGGGTAAACTGCTCATAAACCATTTCATTTATTAGCCATTAATTAACTCTTTGTTCATGTACTTATTAACATATACAATTTTTTTATTTTATTTTTTTATTTAACCTTTATTTAACCAGGTAAGCCAGTTGAGAACAAGTTCTCATTTACAACTGCGACCTGGCCAAGATAAAGCAAAGCAGTGCGATAAAAACAACAACACAGAGTTACATATGGGGTAAACAAAACATAAGGTCATAAAATACAACAGAAAATATATATACAGTGTGTGCAAATGTAGCAAGTTATGGAGGTAAGGCAATAAATAGGCTATAGTGCAAAATAATTACAATTAATATTAACACTGGAATGCTAGATGTGCAAGAGATGATGTGCAAATAGAGATACTGGGGTGCAAAAGAGCAAAAATAAATAACAATATAGGGATGAGGTAGTTGGGTGGGCTAATTTCAGATGGGCTGTGTACATGTGCAGTGATCGGTAAGGTGCTCTGACAACTGATGCTTAAAGTTAGTGAGGGAGATAAGAGTCTCCAGCTTCAGAGATTTTTGCAATTCGTTCCAGTCATTGGCAGCAGAGAACTGGAAGGAATGGCGGCCAAAGGAGGTGTTGGCTTTGGGAATGACCAGTGAGATATACCTGCTGGAGCGCAGACTACGGGTGGGTGCTGCTATGGTGACCAATGAGCTAAAATAAGGCGGGGATTTGCCTAGCAGTGATTTATAGATGGCCTGGAGCCAGTGGGTTTGACGGCGAACATGTAGTGAGGACCAGCCAACAAGAGCGTACAGGTCACAGTGGTGGGTAGTGTATGGGGCTTTGGAGACAAAACGGATGGCACTGTGATAGACTACATCCAATTTGCTGAGTAGAGTGTTGGAGGCTATTTTGTAAATGACATCGCCGAAGTCAAGGATCGGTAGGATAGTCAGTTTTACGAGGGCATGTTTGGCAGCATGAGTGAAGGAGGCTTTGTTGCGAAATAGGAAGCCGATTCTAGATTTAACTTTGGATTGGAGATTCTTAATGTGAGTCTGGAAGGAGAGTTTACAGTCTAACCAGACACCTAGGTATTTGTAGTTGTCCACATACTCTAGGTCAGACCCGTCGAGAGTGGTGATTCTAGTCGGGTGGGCAAATCATGAACAACAGGCCTTATACATGTATTTACTTGATTTACTAGTAAACAAACAATATAATAATGTTTATGATTAGTTTATAAGCAGATCTTCAAATTAAGCGCTACAAATACATTAAGGGCATGCACAATTCTTAATAATGTACTGTATAATCCATTCATCATAAAATAAATAGTCAGCCCATTAATTATGTTCTTTGAGCCTATACTCTCTCCTGGCCCCATTCCACATGCGAGGGTCACGTCCTCTCTAATGTCTGATTAGGAACAATGGAGACACAGCACAAATGCACACCAGACAGGCTGAACCAGAAACTGTGTCCCAGGAGACTGGTTTTTCAACCTCAGAAGGCAGGGAGTGTCCTAATACAACAGGCCTATAGTTTCACCTCAGTACCCCTCACTACCTCCCCCCACTTCCCCTCCCCCCCCCTGCCTGCGGCCTAACGTCTAATGCCACAGGAAAGGCAGGACATGGGAAATAAACAAAGTCCCACTTACGGCTGGGCGATATATTTAATTTATGTTTTTGCGCGATATTCCAAATACCTGTATCGCAATAATCAAGGTTTTATTATTTTTTGTTTTTATGAGCATTTATGTCCGCTTGTTCTCATGTTGTATTTTTGGCCCTGTCTCCTTTGCTCCTTCTGTGCTGTGTGCGCCTTACCATTTACACCAGAGATCTGTATATAATGACGAGATATACAGTACCAGTCAAAAGTTTGGACACACCTACTCATTCAAAGGTTTGTCTTTATTTTTTACTATTTTCTACATTGTACAATAATAGTGAAGACAGCACAACTATGAAATAACACATAAGGAATCATTTAGTAACCAAAAAAGTGTTAAACAAATCAAAATATATTTTATATTTGAGATTCTTAAAATAGCCACTCTTTGCCTTGAAGACAGCTTTACACACTCTTGGCATTCTCTCAACCAGCTTCACCTGGAATGCTTTTCCAACAGTCTTGAAGGAGTTCCCACAATGCTGAGCACTTGTTGGCTGCTTTTCCTTAACTCTGCCATCTGACTCATCCCAAACCATCTCAATTGGGTTGAGGTCGAGGCATTGTGGAGGCCAGATCATCTGATGCAGCACTCCATCACTCTCCTTCTTGGTAAAAAAAAAGCCCTTACACAGCCTGGAGCTGTGTTGGGTCATTGTCCTGTTGAAAAACAAATGATAGTCCCACTAAGCCCAAACCAGATGGGATGGCGTATTGCTGCAGAATACTGTGGTAGCCATGCTGGTTAAGTGTGCCTTGAATTCTAAATAAATCACAGACAGTGTCACCAGCAAAGCAACCCCACACCATAACGCCTCCTCCTCCATGCTTTACGGTGGGAACTACACATGCGGAGATCATCCGTTCACCCACACCGTGTCTCACAAAGACACAGCGGTTGGAACCAAAAATCTCCAATTTGGACTCCAGACCAAAGGACACATTTCCACCAGTCTAATGTCCATTGCTCATGTTTCTTGGCCCAAGCAGGTCTCTTCTTATTATTGGTGTCCTTTAGTAGTATTTTCATTGCAGCAATTCGACCATGAAGGCCTGATTCACACAGTCCCCTCTGAACAGTTGTTGTTGAGATGTGTCTGTGACTTGAACTCTGTGAAGCATTTATTTGGGCTGCAATTTCTGAGGCTGGGGACTCTAATGAACTTATCGTCTGCAGCAGAGGTAACTCTGGGTCTTCCATTGCTGTGGCGGTCTTCGTGAGAGCCAGTTTCATCATAGCGCTTGATGGTTTTTGCGACTGCATTTGAAGTAACTTTCAAAGTTCTTGAAATTGCCTCTTTGCATATTAGAGCTGTTATTTTTATTCATTTATTTTATTTTATTTTTTCTTGATTTTTTTTTGGAGCTGTTCTTGCCATAATATGGACTTGGTATTTGACCAAATAGGGCTATCTTCTCTATACCCAACTACCCTGTCACAACACAACTGATTGGCTCAAACGCATTAAGGAAAGAAATTCCACAAATTAACTTTTAAGAAGGCACACCTGTTAATTGAAATGCATTCCAGGTGACTACCTCATGAAGCTGGTTGAGAGAATGCCAAGAGTGTGCAAAGCTGTCATCAAGGCAACAAAGGGTGGCTATTTGAAGAATCTCAAATATAACATATATTTTGATTTGTTTAACACTTTTTTGAATACTATATGATTCCATATGTGTTATTTCATAGTTTTGATGTCTTCACTATTATTCTACAATGTAGAAAATAGTAAAAATAAAGAAAAATCATTGAATGAGTAGGTGTGTCCAAACTTTTGACTGGTAGTGTACGTCTCCACCCTAACAATGTGAGTCGTTGTTCCAAAGGTGGGAAGGCAGGCGACAAGCTTAGGTCCAAAATAAGCCCATAGAAATGCATTGGCCTTATTTTGGACAGATCTTAGCGAGAGTGAAACCTCTCGCTTCGCGTCTTTCTCTATTTTATGGTTTACACACACGCCAAGCCTCTCCCCCTGCCTCTCACGCCAACATCTTCCTCTCTGACAAGCGGTTTCAACTCGCTATTTATATTTTGAGACGTTATTTTACTGTAATAGAGGAGAAGTTAACTTTTCTAACGATACACTTTTTATGTCTCAACTACTCAAATTGCACGCGGCGCAGACACTACTAAAATGAGAGTGTCAATGAACATTAATTCTGGAAAAATGAATGAGCCAGTTTGTCGCGCACGGCACTGGGGTACCACGTACCGCTAGAAGCATTTAAGCCAAATACTTTTATACTAGCTGTCTAGTCTGTGTTTTATAAATGTGCAATAAGCATAAAACACAATTACATAAGGAATTGGCAACTTGTTCTCATTCTGAGAAATAAGGTAGGCCACTTGATTTTAACATCTGAACAAAGTGGACAGGCTAACATGCTTTTCAAACAGTTGGAGATCAAAAGAAGGGTGTAAAGTGTTGGTCCCATGTTTCATGAGCTGAAAAAAAAAATCCCAGAAATGTTCCATACACACAAAAAGCTTATTTCTCTCAAATGTTGTGCACAAATGAGTTTATATTGCTGCTAGTGAGCATTTCTACTTTGCCAAGATAATCCATCCACCTGACAGGTGTGGCAAATCAAGAAGCTGATTAAACAGAATGCTCATTACACAGGTGCACTTTATGTTGTTGCGTTTATATTTTTGTTCAGTATAGATCGAAGTAGGCTACATTTGAAATAAAGATTAGCTGGCTAATCACTAGCACGTGGGTTTAAGAGATTGTTGATGAGACCTGTGTTAATTTTCTATAGCCTAATGCCTGCTACAAGAAGTTAGTAATTATTAGTGAATGTGCATTATGCATGGTTCTAGTTAAATTTGTAACAGAAAAGTGACAGATCAGTGATTATTGAAAAAAAAGCAGGTTAAACTATTTTGATAATATAATTAAATTATTAGTGGGTCTTATGGTTGTGGAAGGCTTATATTTAACCTAGGTATAACTTCACAAGCCCTGAATTCATTAGATAATTGCTGACTGTTTGAAATGCAGTGTATTTGACCTTTAATTGTTCTATTTTTGTTTCATCAGACCAGAGGACATTTCTCCAAAAAGTACGATCTTTGTCCCCATGTGCAGTTGCAAACCATAGTCTGGCTTTTTTATGGCGGTTTTGGAGCAATGGCTTCTTCCTTGCTGAGTGGCCTGTCAGGTTATGTCGATATAGGACTCGTTTTACTGTGGATATAGATACTTTTGTACCTGTTTCCTCCAGCATCTTCACAAGGTCCTTTGCTGTTGTTCTGGGATTGATTTGCACTTTTCGCACCAAAGTACGTTAATCTCTAGGAGACAGAACGCATCTCCTTCCTGAGCGGTATGACGGCTGCGTGGTCCCATGTTGTTTATACTTGCGTACTATTGTTTATACAGATGAACGTGGTACCTTCAGGTATTTGGAAATTGCTCCCAAGGATGAACCAGACTTGTGGAGGTCTATCATTTCTTTTCTGAGGTCTTGGCTGATTTCTTTTGATTTTCCCATGATGTCAAGCAAAGAGGCACTGAGTTTGAAGGTAGGCCTTGAAATACATCCACAGGTACACCTCCAACTGACTCAAATGATGTCAATTAGCCTATCAGAAGATTCTAAAGCCATGACATCATTTTCTGGAATTTTCCAAGCTGTTTAAAGGCACAGTCAACTTAGTGTTTGTAAACTTCTGACCCACTGGAATTGTGATACAGTGAATTATAAGTAAAATAATCTGTCTGTAAACAATTGTTGGAAAAATTACTTGTGTCATGAACAAAGTAGATGTCCTAACCGACTTGCCAAAACTATAGTTTGTTAACAAGAAATTTGTGGAGTGGTTGAAAAACTAGTTTTAATGACTCCAACCTAAGTGTATGTAAACTTCCGACTTCAACTGTACCCACATGGGTGATTGAAAGATGAGCTGAGGTCCACACTCCAGTCCAGTTGGTGGTGGTAATGCACCTTAAAGTTGGTTGCCAACCGCCATATAAAGTCCAAAGAAGAAGAAGAAGACTGAAGGAGGAGAGATTACTAGAAACGAACTCGGTTTACCCTTTTATCTGTGGATCAATTGTCGGAATAGAGGACCTTGTGCGTTTCAGGTAAAATAACAACCCACTGTTTATATCCCAGGACAAATTAGCTAGCAACAGCAAGCTAGCTAGCTAAATTGCCATGAGTGTTTAATTATTTTTGACCTGTCCCCAAATTAATATAGTTGGTTCAGAGTTCGTTTTGATATTTCAACCTGCGTGGCCTGATCGCGTCTGGTGTGGATGGACAAAATCAACATGCGCGCGATGGCGCACGCGGAGGGTCTAGTCAGCATGTTACAAGTGATGATGCAGTCAGTCCTGCCAGAGAGGATGAGGCGACTCGAGAGGATATACTCCGTCCAAAATCTGTCTGCGTGAGATAAGCACGCATTAGGTGTGCCTGTTGTTCACATGCGTATGTTCCCTCATTGGCTAGAATGGTCCCACCTGATCTTGCCTCCTCCTGCCTGCCTTCCCTCTTTGAGGGGTCCTTGCTATCCGTGATCTTTGGGACATCCCTACCCCCATTGAAGTTGACATTTTAAACGATTCTGGTTAGGGTTAGGTAAGAGTTATGGTTATGGTTAAGGTTAGGGTAGGGTAGGGGTTAAGGTTAGCACATCTTTGGGAAATATATTTCCATTGTTAGTGTGGTCACTCGGGTATCTTGTCAATATAATAGATAATCTTTGGCCCTACATACAATAGAATATAAGATGTAACTGTTGTTCGCCATTGTTGTTGTCCATAGTCAAGTTAATTGGTGCATTGGTGGTGGTGTCGCTCTTTAGTACCCTTGCAGGTGCAATGGAGTTTATAACAATGCTAATTTCTGTTGACGAACCCTTGTCAGAGTTAGCACTTCTCGCTTCAAAAAAGTGAGACACTGGGTTCGGTTTTAATTGACAGGCTTCTGTTTACCAGATATGACATAGAAATGGTAAAATAGTCATTTCATGATGATTACCAAATAATTACTCTTTGGGATTCATTACCCACCATTTAGTAGTAGGTAGTAGAATTCTGTCAAGTAACGTTAGGTAGCAATGGTATCGTATCCCTTATGATTTTATAGTAAAGATTGGGCAAACACCATTACCAGGACTGTAAAGTAAACCAATAGCCTACCAAGTTCTGCAAGTAGCGTTATAAGCAGTTAGCGGGAGCTTCTTCGTTTCAAAGCCCTATGAATTGGCCAGCCGGTGCTGGAGTCTGGTGTAACTAACTGTACGGTGGGTGTATGTCTGGAGAGTTCTGTGGATGAGAATGATGGATGAGGAGTCGGATGACAGGCCTGGCCTGATTTTTCGGGGCTACTCTTACTCCCCTCTGCCTCTCGTAATCTCTCTCCAACACTCGTACCGTGCCTCAGAGGGACGAGGTAGACCTCCCGCAGTGCAGGGCGCTCATGTGCTCTAATGTTCCCCAGCTGGAATTGACGCAGCCGTGACATGCAGTGACACAGGCGGGGTGTCAGATAGCCGACCTACTGACAGGCTGACATTAATCACGCTTACTTACCAGGCAGCATGTTAAGTAACACGCCTCCTTTTCTTTCATGAAACATTTAGCCTGGAATGTGGGCTTTTGAACAGATAATCAGGTGTGTTTCAGAGAAACATGATATTTGCTCCTGCGGGTTTGTCTTCATGTCTTCATGTCTGTCTGTCAGTCTGGCCCCCAGCCTAATGCGGTTCTGTACACAAAAGCTCTTGGATTGAGTTTTAGTGAGGTCCGGGTAGCAGGGCGGCGTTTGGGGTGTAGGGATTCTTCTATACAATTTAAAAATTCTAAATGCTATTTGGAGAACAGCAAAAACAAGCAAAAATGACCGCAGTCATTATCACATTGGTTGCTGTAGCTTCATTCACCTCAGTCGATCTACAAACACATAGCCTTTTAGATATAAACTCAGCAAAAAAAGAAACGTCCTCTCACTGTCAACTGCGTTTATTTTCAGCAAACTTAACATAAATATTTGTATGAACATAACAACATTCAACAACTGAGACATAAACTGAACAAGTTCCACAGACATGTGACTAACAGAAATTGAATAATGTGTCCCTGAACAAAGGGGGGTCAAAATCAAAAGTATCAGTCAGTATCTGGTGTGGCCACCAGCTGCATTAAGTATCGCAGTGCATCTCCTCCTCATGGACTGCAACAGATTTGCCAGTTCTTGCTGTGAGATGTTACCCCACTCTTCCACCAAGGCACCTGCAAGTTCCCAGACATTTCTGGGGGGAATGGCCCTAGCCCTAGCCCTCACCCTCCGATCCAACAGGTCCCAGACATTCTCAATGGGATTGAGATCCGGGCTCTTCGCTGGCCATGGCAGAACACTGACATTCCTGTCTTGCAGGAAATCACGCATGGAACCAGCAATATGGCTGGTGGCATTGTCATGCTGGAGGGTCATGTCAAGATGAGCCTGCAGGAAGGGTACCACATGAGGTAGGAGGATGTCTTCCCTGTAACGCACAGCGTTGAGATTGCCTGCAATGACAACAAGCTCAGTCCGATGATGCTGTGACACACCACCCCAGACCATGACTGACCCTCCACCGCCAAATCGATCCCGCTCCAGAGTACAGGCCTTGGTGTAACGCTCATTCCTTCAACGATAAACGCGAATCCGACCATCACCCCTGAAATCGCGACTCGTCAGTGAAGAGCACTTTTTGCCAGTCCTGTCTGGTCCAGCGACAGTGGGTTTATGCCCATAGGCGACGTTGTTGCCGGTGATGTCTGGTGAGGACCTGCCTTACAACAGCCCACAAGCCCTCAGCCCAGCCTCTCTCAGCCTATTGCGGACAGTCTGAGCACTGATGGAGGGATTGTGCGTTCCTGGTTTAACTCGGGCAGTTGTTGTTGCCATCCTGTAGCTGTCCCGCAGGTGTGATGTTCGGATGTACCGATCCTGTGCAGGTGTTGTTACACGTGGTCTGCCACTGCGAGGACGATCAGCTGTCCGTCCTGTCTCCCTGTAGCGCTGTCTTAGGCGTCTCACAGTACAGACATTGCAATTTATTGCCCTGGCCACATCTGCAGTCCTCATGCCTCCTTGCAGAATGCCTAAGGCACGTTCACACAGATGAGCAGGGACCCTGGGCATCTTTCTTTTGATGTTTTTCAGAGTCAGTAGAAAGGCCGCTTTAGTGTCCTAAGTTTTCATAACTGTGACCTTAATTGCCTACCTTCTGTAAGCTGTTAGTGTCTTAACGACCGTTCCACAGGTGCATGTTCATTAATTGTTTATGGTTCATTGAACAAGCATGGGAAACAGTGTTTAAACCCTTTACAATTAAGATCTTTGAAGTTATTTCGATTTTTACGAATGATTACTTTATCCTATCCCAGGTATCCTTAAAGAGGTGGGGTTTCAAATGTCTCCGGAAGGTGGTGAGTGACTCCGCTGTCCTGGCGTCGTGAGGGAGCTTGTTCCACCATTGGGGTGCCAGAGCAGCGAACAGTTTTGACTGAGCTGAGCGGGAACTGTGTTTCCGCAGAGGTAGGGGAGCCAGCAGGCCAGAGGTGGATGAACGCAATGCCCTCGTTTTGGGTGTAGGGACTGATCAGAGCCTGAAGGTACGGAGGTGCCGTTCCCCTCACAGCTCCGTAGGCAAGCACCATGGTCTTGTAGCAGATGCAAGCTTCAACTGGAAGCCAGTGGAGTGTGCGGAGGAGCGGGGTGACGTGAGAGAACTTGGGAAGGTTGAACACCAGACGGGCTGCGGCATTCACAGATGGATGAGTTGTAGGGGTTTAATGGCACAGGCAGGGAGCCCAGCCAACAGCGAGTTGCAGTAATCCAGACGGGAGATGACAAGTGCCTGGATTAGGACCTGTGCCGCTTCCTGTGTAAGGCAGGGTCGTACTCTCCGAATGTTGTAGAGCATGAACCTACAGGATGGGGTCACTGCCTTGATGTTAGCGGAGAACGACAGGGTGTTGTCCAGGGTCACGCCAAGGCTCTTCGCACTCTGGGAGGAGGACACAACGGAGTTGTCAACCGTGATGGCGAGATCATGGAACGGGCAATCCTTCCCCGGGAGGAAGAGCAGCTCCGTCTTGCCAAGGTTCAGCTTGAGGTGGTGATCCGTCATCCATACTGATATGTCTGCCAGACATGCAGAGATGCGATTCGCCACCTGGTTATCAGAAGGGGGAAAGGAGAAGATTAGTTGTGTGTCGTCTGCGTAGCAATGATAGGAGAGGCCATGTGAGGACATGACAGAGCCAAGTGACTTGGTGTATAGCGAGAATAGGAGAGGGCCTAGAACTGAGCCCTGGGGGACACCAGTGGTGAGAGCACGTGGTGCGGAGACAGCTTCTCGCCACGCCACTTGGTAGGAGCGACCGGTCAGGTAGGACGCAATCCAAGAGTGAGCCGCGTCGGAGATGCCCAGCTCGGAGAGGGTGGAGAGGAGGATCTGATGGTTCACAGTATCAAAGGCAGCAGACAGGTCTAGAAGGACAAGAGCAGAGGAGAGAGAGTTAGCTTTAGCAGTGCTGCTATAACAGCCTCCACTCTTCTGGGAAATATTTCCACTAGATGTTGGAACATTGCTGCAGGGACTTGCTTCCATTCAGCCACAAGAGCGTTAGTGAGGTCGGGCACTGATGTTGGGTGATTAAGCCTGGCTCGCAGTCAGCATTCCAATTCATCCCAAAGATGTTTGATGGGGTTGAGGTCAGGGCTCTGTGCAGAGCAGTCAAGCTCTTCCACACCGATTTCGACAAACCATTTCTGTATGTACCTCGCTTTGTGCACAGGGGCATTGTCATGCTGAAACAGGAAAGGGCCTTCCCCAAACTGTTACCACAAAGTTGGAAGCACAGAATCATCTAGAATGTAATTGTATGCTGTAGCGTTAAGATTTCCCTTCACTGGAACTAAGGGGCCTAGCCCCAAACCATGAAAAACAGCCCCAGACCATTATTCCTCCTCCACCAAACTTTACAGTTGGCACTATGCATTCGGGCAGGTAGCGTTCTCCTGGCTTCCGCCAAACCCAGATTAGTCTGACGAACTGCCAGATGGTAAAGCGTGATTCATCACTCCAGAGAACGGGTTTCCACTGCTCCAGAGTCCAATGGCGGCGAGTTTTACACCACTCCAGCTAATGCTTGGTATTGCGCATGGTGAGCTTAGGCTTGTGTGCTGCTCGGTCATGGAAACCCATTTCATGAAGCTCCTGACAAACAGTTATTGTGCTGACATTGCTTCCAGAGGCAGTTTGGATCTCGATAGTGAGTGTTGCAACCGAGGATAGACGATTTTTACTCTCTACGCGCTTCAGCACTCGGTGGTCCCGTTCTGTGACCTACCACTTCGCGGCTGAGCCGTTGTTGCTCCTAGACGTTTCCACTTCACAATAAAAGCACTTACCGTTGCCCGGGGCAACTCTAGCAGGGCAGAAATTTACAAACTGACTTGTTGGAAAGGAGGCATCCTATGACGGTGCCACGTTGAAAGTCACTGAGCTCTTCAGTAAGGGCATTCTACTGCCAATGTTTGTCTATGGAGATTGCATGGCTGTGTGCTCGATTTTATACGCCTGTCAGCAATGGGTGTGGCTGAAATAGACAAATCCATTAATTTGAAGGCGTGTCCACATACTTTTGTATATATAGTATGTATATATATATATTTTTTTGTGTGTGTATTTTACCCCCCTTTTCTCCCCAATTTCAATCTTGTCTCATCGCTGCAACTCCCCAACGGGCTCGGGAGAGTGCGTCCTCCCAAACATGACCTGCCAAACCGCGCTTCTTAACACCCGCCCGCTTAACCCAGAAGCCAGCTGCCCCAATGTGTCGGAGGAAACACTGCTCAACTGATGACTGAAGTCAGCCTGCAGGCGCCCGGCCTCCCACAAGGAGTCGCTAGAGCGTGATGAGCCAAGTAAATCCCCCTCGGACGACGCTGGGCCAATTGTGCGGCGCCTTATGGGACTCTCAGTCACGGCCGGTTGTGACAGCCTGGGATCGAACCCAGGTCTGTAGTGACACCTCAAGCACTGCGCCTTAGACCGCTGCACCACTCGGGAGGCCCTTATATGTATTATTTTTGATTACTCTGTGCCTTCATATGTAGTTACGGCCCTGACAGTAACTTACCTCCATTTTTAACGATAATGAATAAAGAGATCTTATTGATTGCCAGAAGGGAAAATGTGTGTTTAGAACTAGTGCAGTGTCATTTTTTTAAGAAGCAGCAGCTATTCTTCCTGGGGTCCACACAAAACATAGAACATGACAAAATACAGAACACTAATGGACAGGAACAGCAACACATTTAAACTAAAAACACTACGACTAAAGAACAATATGACTGTGATGAGTGTGATAGAAGGAGTCAGGCGCAGGAGGGTAATCACCGAATGCAAAGTTTATTCCATCGTACACAAATAGCGCTGGATAGCGACAAACGAAACAGGCACAGGGGAAAATCTACCCTGGCAATACAAGGTAACGGTAGCTCCAACAATAACAGGCACAGGGGAAATATCTACCCCGGCAATAACAAGGTATGAGTAGCTCCACCAAGCTACACTACTCTCACGAACAAACAATCACGCACAAGGACAAGGGGGGCAGAGGGAACACTTGTACATGGACTAATGAGGGGATATGAACCAGGTGTGTGTAATTAACAAGACAAGACAAATGGAATGATGATATATGGAGCGGCAGTGGCTAGTAAGCCGGTGACGACGAACGCCGAAGCCTGCCCGAACAAGGAAGGGAGGCAGCCTTGGCGGAAGTCGTGACAACGACTAGACCTATAAAAAAAATGTTTTACATTAAAAAGCTATCAATAGCTGTTTTTACTACCATCTCTCTCGTGTTCTAGGGCAGTGGTTCCCAAATTGTGGTCCGCAGAGGTACTGCAGGGGGTCCGCGGCAAGATGTAAAAAAAAAAAAAAAACATATATAATATTGCTAGCAACAACAGATTAAACAAATTTGGCCAAGGGGTCTATGGAAGAAGTTTAAAGGGTGCAATACAACACAATACAATGTAATATTAGATAATCTACAATAGGGCTGTTCAATTCCGGTCCTACTGTTTTTTGTTTCTACTGGGTACTAGGTAATTGCACTCACCTGGTCTGAAGTCCCTTATTAGAAGGAGAAGGATGAAAACCAGAAGTGTTTCGGCCCTCCAGGACCGACATTGAACAGCCCTGATCTACAATATACCCTGCACAACAGGGCCTGGGAGACTCACAGGGATCCACAGTTTTCCATCAATGATCCAGTTTTCAACTCAATACTTCTTGTATTCCCATTATTATTATTTTTGAACATAAATGCACTGTAATTTAAGCTTTAAAACTGCAAAATTCTCTCTCTTCTCCATGGGAAAATGTGTAGAGTTGCAGGAAATTAGCTTTAAAACTGTGTGGGGGGGCTTTAAAACGTTATTTCACAAATCAAATCAAATCAAATGTATTGGTCACATACACATGGTTAGCAGATGGTATTGCAAGTGTAGCGACAGGGTCCGAGACTTGATTAGTCTGCCCATGCACTGCAGCAATCATAGTAAAACTCCTTGTTTGCAATTTTTTATCACACTCTAAAGTCAGAGTTGTGTTCTGATTTTGAGGGGGTCCCTGATGAATTTGTCATCACAAAAGGGGTCCACGGCCCCAAAAAAGTTTGGGAACCTATGTTCTAGGACAGTGGTTCCCAACCAGAGGTACTAGGACCCTTGGGGGTACTTGGCCTATCTACAGGGGGTACTTGAGAAGACTCATGAGACCATAGGCCTTCTGGTAAAATGCACATAAGGGGGTACTTCAGGGGTACTCCGGGCAAAGCAGAATTCAATTGGTGGTACAGTAAACGAAAAAGGTTGGGAACCACTGTTCTAGGGAACTCGGTTGAGTCAATTCAAGACTTGTGATTTCAACAAAGCCCAGTAGAGGGACCCTATCCCAAGCAGAACAAACATTCACGTTCTCATTTTCAATACCTACAGCTCTCTCTGACCACTCACTATGTTCCCAATCTTATGTTGAACACCCACTCCCCAGGATTATGTTGGACCATTTTCCTTTCCGTTCTTTTCATTTCTGTTCACACTTGTGTTTGTTTGTGCCTGAGGGTGTGACTGGTAGGCATGTGAACTAGAGAAGACAATGGAGTTTTTTGAAATCCAGACGCACAAAGAGCCATAGTGGTGCCATATGGGAGCTTCCTCTGCTCTGAACTTAACCCTGAACTCCAAACAAATACAGATGACATATTCAGCATTTCTCCATGGTGGCTCGCATCCATATAGAAACCCTAGGTTGTCCATGTAGACCTGTGGTCGTGTATCTTTAAGTGTATGAACATGATTTGAAACTTAGTCATCTGAACATGCAAATTATTGCATGTGTCCAGCAGTATTTGTTGTGTCACAGTATGACTACACTCATGTTTGTCGATATGCCCAAAATTGGCTAATGTAACACTTCCAATGTGCCAAGTGTAATGACACATATTCCAAAATGAATTTGTACATTCAATACATATCGAACAACAATAGCTCAAGTGTGCTAAGGAAACAATGTATACTCAGGCACTGCACAACATGCACCAGCAAATCAACCATAGTAGCATACGCCACCACTGTGTAGTACTCAACTGAAAGGTAAACAAAGTAAAACCTGATGATTAAGTCAGAAGGCCCATTCTGAAGGCTTTAAACTGGGCCGCCGAGGAGAAAAGCTCTGAAAGTGCCAGCGAGAGAAAGACACGGGCAGAGATTTTTGATGGAAACTAAATTTAGACTGGCATCTACTTCAAATAGAAACCCTCCATACATATTTATGAATGAAGGGAAGACTATGGTCTCGGCGATGGGAGTGGGGGAAGGAGAGAAAGAGGGAGCCCGATTCACCTGAAAACCTATTTTGAGATATTCTGCCTCTATTCTCAGCATGGAGAGGCTATTTTTAGCAGTGCAGAGGCAGAAGCGATTATGCTGCAGATGCACAAATAGCCGTACAGTCAGTGTGTAGAATCAGCCAGAGGAGGAAGAGAGAGAGGGAGCAATTGCACAGTTATTTTTAGGACACTACACACAACACATTCTCACACTCTCACACACACGTATATACACGCACAGCTCCCCTCGCAATGCCACCTTGTTCAATGTACTCACGCTCAGTATATACACTATGAGCGAAATGCCCTAATGTGCCTCAGATTTGAACAGCCTGTTCTCTCTCTCTCTCTCTCTCTCTCTCTCTCTCTCTCTCTCTCTCTCTCTCTCTCTCTCTCTCTCTCTCTCTCTCTCTCTCTCTCTCTATCTCTCTCTCTATTTCTCTCTCCCCATATCTCTTTGCTTGTCTCAGCATTGAACAGTCTGTGCTCCTACATAGTAATACAGAGTTCTTCAATTCCGGTCCTGGAGGGCCGAAACACCTCTGTTTTTCATCCTCTCCTTCTAATCAGGGGCTAATTCAGACCTGGGACACCAGGTGAGTGCAATTAACTACCAGGTAGAAATAAAAAACAGAAGTGTTTCGGCCCTCCAGGACCGGAATTGAAGAACCCTGTAGTAATACATCATAATTTGGTGGATGCTAATATTTGTCCTGTTTCACACATGTACAAGTGTGTATTATACGCATGTGTGAATTGGTAATGTGTTTTTTGCATATCCCAACTCCCCCTGAGACACCCTAGGAGAGTGGGGCCACGGCCAGTGTCTGCCCTGTCTCTCTCTGTGGCTACATTATCTATAGTATTCTGTGTCATATGAATGGAGGAGGGCTTCTGCATTGATGACATAACACACTGTAACAGACCAGCGTCTTGTCCTCATGCAACATCCCAGGGAATGAAGTGGATGGTGAATTGAATGGAGAGGCTACTGTAGCCATTTTGACATTATAGATTTTTGGCTTGCCTATTGTTCTCTCAATTTGACTTGTATGTTTTTGGTTTTAATCCTAAAACAGGTATATAATAGATTGTGTAGATATACATTTTACTTACATTTTATAAAATGTTACTAACAGATAATACATTAAATGTATAAATCGTGTTCCTGCATATAGACATAGTACTTTATGCTGTGATGTATTCAATATAACAGGTGTTTTGGCAATCTAATGTACTATGACCACAAGAATGTATGAAGTATGGACTGCATCCATCTGAAATGATCTATTATCTATCAATATCCATGTCTATGCACCTGACTGCCAGCAAAGAAATCCTTCCAGTGGGGTTCCCAAAGCAGGCAGAAAGTTTGATTTTGCCATGAAGCCACTGGATCTACTGTTTTATTGCTGTTTAATAGCTCATCGGACAAACAACAGATGTTATTGTTGTCTAATTGCCTCACAGTGGTGGAAAAAGTACCCAATTGTCATACTTGAGGTAAAGTAAAGATACTTTAACAGAAAATGACTCAAGTAAAAGTGAAAGTCACCCAGTAAAATGCTACTTGAATATATTTAAGTATCAAAAGTAAATGTAATTGCTAAAATAGACTTAAGAATCAAAAGTAAAAGTACATTCCTTATATTAAGGAAACCAGACAGCACGATTATCTTGTTTTTTAAATTTACGGATAGCCAGGGGCACACTCCAACACTCAGACATAATTTACAAACAAAACATTTGTGTTTAGTGAGTCCGCCAGATCAGATGCAGTAGGGATGACCAGGGATTTTCTCTTTAAGTGCGTGAATTGGACAATTGTCCTGTCCTGCTAAGCATTCAAAATGTAACAAGTACTTTTGGGTGTCAGGGAAAATGTAGTAGTAAGTAGAAAGTACATCATTTTCTTAAGGAATGTAGTGAAGTAAAAGTAGTCAAAAATATAAATAATAAAGTAAAGTACAGATACCCCAAAAAACGACCTAAGTAGTACTTTAAAGTATTTTTACTTAAGTACCTTACACCACTGTTGCCTCATGTCATCAGACGAGAGACATCTCCGGGGAAAGTTCTAGCTCAGTTAGTTTCAATTACATATTCCATAACTGTTTTAGAATGATTGTTTTATTTTTTCATATCACTCTGCACTAATTATTTGCAAAGGGATGAGCTACATCCAGTCTCTGTCTAAGAACTGCCACGGTTTCTACAACGGTTGTTTGCTAAAGCGCTGATTTCTGCTCTGGAGTTCATCAGAACCTGCATACAAAGTGGAGCAACGCTTGGATGTTAGCAGAGGTTGTGGGACTGTGGATGTGGATCAAGGTGGAATTGCCTTAATTGCTGGAGACGGACCAACCCCATTGTGATTGGGACACTCCACTCTACCTAAGTCTATAGTCTATACATAGCACAACTCACATGCTACCACATCAATACTGCAGGGCTATTTTTAACTCCACCGAATCCTACATCACACTGACCTTGCAGCCCGATCAATGCGTGGCTGCATCCCAGTTCCCTCTACTATAGGCAGTGCAGTGCCGACTCTTGGCCGCGTCTCAATAGTCTACAGTGCCTTCCTTATCTCATCTCCTTCCCTTTGTCTGTACAGATCTGAAAACGCTCTGCTGGTGGATGTGATGGGGCAGATATGTAGTGTAGAATTCATTTGGGGATCTCCTTTGATCCACCTGTGTTTTTAAGATCTGTTGCAGATGAGGGGAGGAGACGAGGAGAGGAAGCCTCTTTAGACTATTGAGGTGCATTATTATCAAAGAGAACTGTTCATGCATGTCAACCTTGGCTACGCATGGCAGAGATGCAGTAATCTTAATCCATATGGATGTGTTCATATCTATATGAATTGCCTTAAAGATGGTTTATAGTTTATAGAATTGCGATAAAGATGGTTTATAGTTTATAGAATTGCGATAAAGATGGTTTATAGTTTATAGGAGTCCTGGTAGCAGCTACCTCAGGCTGACCCTCGTCAGCAAACAGCCAGCTCCCACAGTCTGACCAGCCAACACCATTCAGACACAGTGTTCTTCCTGAGTGCCATTGAAATGTTATCTGACGTACCCAACTCCACAATGCATTACTTTATGTTTTTGTTGCCCTCTTAACCACCAATTTTTTCTTTCATATCAGGTTTATTGGTGTGACTTGGAACAATGATGGGCTTTTTTTAAATGCTGCCATTTCCTGTGCTTTTGATAAATCACATTCATTGTTGAAAGGGTTTTGTGCGATGATTGACACCATTTATATTTTTAGTTTGGGCTTTCTCAAATGAACTCAATTTGTTGAGAGGGGGTGGGGGAAGGGGGGCTTGATGCCTTTGTCTGGTCTACCTGAGACCCGTTGGTGACGTTTGACTTGACATCAGTCTCAAAGAAAAGTGCATTGTTGTGAATGATTAAAATATTTTGTGTATTGTGCGATAACTGAATGTGCATGTGTGCTGTGTGCACAAGGTGTGTTCAATTTATTGAGTGATGGAGCATCATTTGTGAAGTGGATGATTTTTGGAGTATGATTATTACAATGATGAATGATAGGAAGAAATTAGGGAGAACTGGATTTTGAGAACATTGAATTGTTTTCTCATCTTCCTCTTTGTCTCCCCCATAGTTTTGATGTTGAGAATGGATTGTCGGTGGGGCGCAGCCCTCTGGACCCCCAGGCCAGTCCCGGCTCCGGCCTTGTGCTCCAGGCCAATTATACCCATAGCCAGCGCCGGGAGTCCTTCCTCTACCGCTCCGACTCTGACTTTGACCTATCACCCAAGGCCCCCTCGAGGAACTCCTCCACTGCCAGTGAGCTGTAAGTGCCCCCCCCCCCCCCCTTCCTATTGGTTAATGTCTCCCTCTGTGACCTTTCACCTTCCTCTCATATCTATTGGGAAGCGTCATGGCAGAGATGTCTCACTGTAGGCCATGATGTTACAAGGTCTCCACTACAAGGCAAAGAGTTGTTGTAATGTCCAAGGTTATATACAGATATGGTTTTGTGGAACAGATAAAATCATATGTGGAAAGCAAGTCATTTCTTGGATCGCTTTCCAAAAGGGAATTCCAATCGCAAAGCATGAGGAACACGTTAGGCCATTTTGAAAGCTTTCCCTTATACTACAGTAGTTTGTGTGGTCCCTTAAGTTATCCTGTGAAGAGCCTACTAAGTAGACTGTATCTTAAGCACTTCATTGTGCTTTTTTTATGTAGCACAGTTTTATTAGCACAAAATGCTATATTAAACCATATTGCTCTGCGGGTTTGGAAAATCTACCGTCCTCCAGTTTGAAAGCCCCTATTACTGCAACCAGCTGTTCTTTCCATCCCAGCACGCTTGCATGTCAACTCTGCTTCGGTAGGATTAGACATAGACAAAGTTGAAAAAATGTGGCACTTTCTTGTTTTTTTCTTCTTCTTTTGCTGTTTGTTTTTCCAGCCTATGTCAGCCTAAGCCAGTTTCCACGTGTCTGAACACCTTAGTTTGTGATTAATCGGTTGCAGGTCACCAACTCTTGCCTCTGTTTTTAAAGGGAAGAAAGCTTGAAGCACTGGGAAGTCAACTGGTTGTCTCGGTGAGAAGAACTTGACAAAACACTGACTAGGTTCCCTCAAAGGCCTGTCCTGCATTCTCCATTGCAGGTTTCAGAGCCATTTTCCCCTCCCCATGGCACCAGTGACTAAAACTTTAGCCCTCCCCTAGGTTTTTCCTGTGACCCCCGAGAAAGCCTTTTTTGTTTTGCATGTGAAGAAAATACCTTAGCATAACTCCTCAGCCCTGTAACTTTACCAGTTACACTTTAATTTCTCCCTACCTCACGGTTCATAAAATGTACAGTGCATGGCATCCTTTGATTGACCTACATTTCACCTAGCCTGGTCTACCTTTTTCTGTTGTGTTTTCTTTGCTTTAATATCAGTCTGCAGGTTGTTGTAGTGTTATTTCAGACACTGATCAACTGTCTTGATTAATAATTATGATTATTACAAATGAGTAATGTGCACAGTAGTCATTTGTACCACAGTAGTTATGTTGGATTTATTAACCTAAATATTTTATGCACACTAAATGGTTGCAATTTGTTTAACTTTTTCACTGATTCCATTACTGTACTTTAAAAACATCAAGACCAGAGCCTAAACCAATATCTGGATGTAACCTCATTTTGTTCCGTTTTCTTCATTGTAGACATGGAGAAGACATGATTGTGACACCATTTGCACAGGTTGGTTTTGGAAATATTCTGCCCTTTCCTGTGTTTGTCAGCCGAACAAATAGTTTAGCAAATGACCTGCGGTGGTCTAGTGGTCTAGGCTGCTGCCTCTGGAGTTCATGACCAGTGTATTGCTGCTAGCATAGGTTCAAATCCTGCCGACTGCTCTTTCAGCAGTCTACCTTTTACCTCTATCTCTCTCTAGCCAATAAACATACAAAATACTTAAAAATAGATATATGGAATGGAATGTAGCTACACCTTCATTAAGCACACCAACACGACAAGGAAATTACTAATACATCTTACTGAACACTGACTAACCCTGAGTAACTAAGACTTTTAACAAAAGAATACCTATAAATAGATTGTTGCCATTGGCCCAGTGAAGTCACAGCTGTCACTAGGTACCGGTGATACTAGTAGAGAGGACCACCGAAACAGCCTATGGAATGTGGCTGGTGCATCACGGCAGCCGGGCCTGTGACGGGAGAAGTGCGTCACAGCTGGACTCACTTTACTGAACAAGCTAGGAATCCAATACGGCATTCCTCGATATGGCTGCTGACTTATAATATTAATGACCATAATTTTGGAATGAGATGTTCGACAAGCAGGTGTCCACATACTTTTGGTCATGTAGTGTAGCTTTTGGCATTCTGACTAAAATAGTTTACACAAACAATTTAGGTAACTTACATTCAACAGCAAATTTGAGAGGATACAAACACTCAAATATGAGTCATCTAGTGTTTTTATTCATACATGAAGGACCTCAACTATCACAATGAGGCAGTAGAGATGACGTACTCTATTTATCTTGGCCCTTCTTGCAGGTACTTGCCAGTTTGAGGACGGTAAGAAGCAACTTTGCCGTTTTGACCCATCAGCAAGATCGTCAACCCAGCAAGTAAGTTCAATCTACACCTCTCATACCCAAACTCGTATGTCCCCCAAAGCCATTGACTATAACGATGAAGTGAACAGGAGATACAAAGTAGATATACATATATATATATACACTGCTCAAAAAAATAAAGGGAACACTAAAATAACACATCCTAGATCTGAATGAATGAAATAATCTTATTAAATACTCTTTTCTTTACATAGTTGAATGTGCTGACAACAAAATCACACAAAAATTATCAATGGAAATCAAATTTATCAACCCATGGAGGTCTGGATTTGGAGTCACCCTCAAAATTAAAGTGGAAAACCACACTACAGGCTGATCCAACTTTGATGTAATGTCCTTAAAACAAGTCAAAATGAGGCTCAGTAGTGTGTGTGGCCTCCATGTGCCTGTATGACCTCCCTACAACGCCTGGGCATGCTCCTGATGAGGTGGCGGATGGTCTCCTGAGGGATCTCCTCCCAGACCTGGACTAAAGCATCCGCCAACTCCTGGACAGTCTGTGGTGCAACGTGGCGTTGGTGGATGGAGCGAGACATGATGTCCCAGATGTGCTCAATTGGATTCAGGTCTGGGGAACAGGCGGGCCAGTCCATAGCATCAATGCCTTCCTCTTGCAGGAACTGCTGACACACTCCAGCCACATGAGGTCTAGCATTGTCTTGCATTAGGAGGAACCCAGGGCCAACCGCACCAGCATATGGTCTCACAAGGGGTCTGAGGATCTCATCTCTGTACCTAATGGCAGTCAGGCTACCTCTGGCGAGCACATGGAGGGCTGCGCGGCCCCCCAAAGAAATGCCACCCCACACCATGACTGACCCACCGCCAAACCGGTCATGCTGGAGGATGTTACAGGCAGCAGAACGTTCTCCACGGCGTCTCCAGACTCTGTCACGTCTGTCACATGTGCTCAGTGTGAACCTGCTTTCATCTGTGAAGAGCACAGGGCGCCAGTGGCGAATTTGCCAATCTTGGTGTTCTCTGGCAAATGCCAAACGTCCTTGCAGGGCTCTGGCAGTGCTCCTCCTGCTCCTCCTTGCACAAAGGCGGAGGTAGCAGTCCTGCTGCTGGGTTGTTGCCCTCCTACGGCCTCCTCCACGTCTCCTGATGTACTGGCCTGTCTCCTGGTAGCGCCTCCATGCTCTGGACACTACGCTGACAGACACAGCAAACCTTCTTGCCACAGCTCGCATTGATGTGCCATCCTGGATGAGCTGCACTACCTGAGCCACTTGTGTGGGTTGTAGACTCCGTCTCATGCTACCACTAGAGTGAAAGCACCGCCAGCATTCAAAAGTGACCAAAACATCAGCCAGGAAGCATAGGAACTGAGAAGTGGTCTGTGGTCACCAACTGCAAAACCAGTCCTTTATTGGAGGTGTCTTGCTAATTGCCTATAATTTCCACCTGTTGTCTATTCCATTTGCACAACAGCATGTGACATTTATTGTCAATCAGTGTTGCTTCCTAAGTGGACAGTTTGATTTCACAGAAGTGTGATTGACTTGGAGTTACATTGTGTTGTTTAAGTGTTCCCTTTATTTTTTTGAGCAGTGTATATATATATATATATATATAAACTTTACTCAAACGGGGATGTCTGTGTCCATAGGAGAACTGGCAGTAACCCACCATCCATGTGCAAGACAACCTTAGCAGGTGAGTGTTTTTGAAGTGTGTGATTGTACATATTACCTCAATTACCTTGACTAACCGGTGCCCCTGCACATTGACTCTGTACCAGTACCCCCTGTATATAGCCTCCCTACTGTTATTGTATTTTACTGCTGCTCTTTAATTATTTACTGTTTTTAATTTTTACTTATCTATTTTTTACTTAACACTTGTATTTATTTTCGTAAAAACTGCATTGTTGGTTAAGGGCTTGTAAGTAAGCATTTCACTGTAAGGTCTACACCTGTTGTATTCGGCACATGTGGCAAATAACATTTGATTTGATTTGATTGGTTGAGTTTGTTCTGCTTTACAAAAGTTGGCGAGATCTTAACAAGGTTGCCTCCTAGGTTATCCATCTTTGTTTGATTGATTAAATAAATCTGATGATATAACCATCCATAGAAACTGCAAAGGGGACTTGCGTCATTGGACAAAATTCTAGATTGAATAATTGATTCTTGAATGAACGTTGAACTTTAAAAGAACATTGAATCGTGGGCTCATCTCGTTGTGTGTCGTCCTTGTGTGGGTGTGACAGAGGAGCCGCTCCAGCAGCTGGCCGTGGAGACTCTGGACGAGCTGGACTGGTGTCTGGAGCAGCTGGAGACCCTGAAGACACGCCACTCTGTCAGCGAGATGGCCTCCAACAAGGTACAGTCACACACACACACGTTTCATTTACTATCCTTGTGGGGATCAAACAACTGATTCCCATTCAAAATACTATTTTCCCTATCCCCTAACCCTAAATCAAACCCTTAACCTAACCCTAACCCCAAACCTCTAACCCTAACTCCTAACCCTTAACCCCTAACTCTAATTGTAACCCTAACCCTAAACCTAACCCCTAAGCCTAAAATAGCCTTTTTCCTTATGGGGACCGGAGAAATATCCCCGCTGAATTGTCTTTGTTTTACCATCCTTGTGAGGACTTCTGGTCCCCACAAGAACAGTAAAACCAAACACACACACACAATCATAACCCTGGGTGCTTTCATGACTCACTTGT